TCGAACCAGTAAAACCCCAAGATCACGAGGATTAACGCCGCGTTTCATCACTCCTTTGGGAAGTCCTCTTAGAAAGGCACTTAAAATGACAAGATTAGACCCACAGGATGCTTGGCTACCCATCACTGAGTCACGAAATGGAAACGCATATTACGCTGCGTTTCATACACTTTGTTCTGGGATTGGTATTCAAGCCCTTGTCTTACCTGTTGCCTTTACTATCCTTGGCTGGTAATTTCATTTACATACATATATACCAACTTTTGGTCAATAAACTTCTTATGTTATGATCGACTAACCTAATATATATGAAGTGTTTTTGTAATTGTTGCAGGGCTTGGGGTATCATTAGCTTAACGGTAGCATTTGTATGGCAGCTCTACACACTTTATTTAATGGTTCAACTTCATGAAAATTATGAAACAGGAATACGTTACAGCAGATACCTGCAACTGGCATGCGCAACATTCGGTAAGCATCAATATAGATTCTTCATCAAATTTGAACGGGTTAAAACAGATCAAATTAATAAAAGGGGTATGACCCGATTCATCCAAAATTTGCTGCGGTTAAAATAGGTTGGTCAGTCCTGAAAAAAGAAAAATAGGTTGGGTCATGGTTGCCTCTTTGAGCCGAGGGTCTCCTGGAAACAGCCTCTCTGCCCCTCGGGGTAGAGGTAAGGTCTGCGTACATATTACCCTCCCCAGACCCCACTTGTGGGATTACACTGGGTTGTTGTTGTTGTTGTAGGTTGGGTCATGGTCCATAATGGGTCATAGCAACTTGTCCCACATGATCCAATATTCGGTCCTTTTTTATTTTGTTTTTAAAAGTAATTATTGAAATCTGGAATATTTTTCCTAAATTATTAGCTTAAGGTGCAGTCTCTAAATTTCTTTTGGATTTTTTGATTTAGTTGCATTTTTGACCCGGGTGAATACACTGAGTCATTTCTGATTCAGTGTTGGGTCAAGTCAACAAGCTGATCATGATCCTAACTCGTTTAAATTTGGGTGGGCTAATAAAATATATTATGGGTTGATTTTGCCCCCTCTGTTGCAACATAATGAATTAAATACAAGGAGTAAGTACGTACTTGGACGGTTGAATAATTTTGTATAAATTTATATTTTGGTTCAGGTGACAACTTAGGCAAACTATGTGCAGCGTTTCCTATCGGATATCTCTCAGCGGGTACATGTTGTGCGCTGATTATAATAGGAGGTTCAACAGCAAAGCTATTGTATCAGACTTTGTGTGGAGCAACATGTAGTAATCCAAAGCCATTAACAACGGTGGAATGGTACTTGGTTTTCACTTGTGTTGCAGTGGTTTTAGCACAGTTGCCAAACTTGAATTCTATTGCTGGAATTTCCTTAGTTGGTGCTCTTACCGCCGTTGGATATTGTACAGCATTATGGACAGTTTCAGTTGCTGAGGGTAGACTTCCTAATGTGTCATATGATCCAGTTAGGAAGGGAACTCAAGTTGCTAGGATCTTTGATCTTCTTAATGCTCTTGGTATTATTGCTTTTGCTTTCAGAGGCCACAATCTCATACTTGAAATTCAGGTAATCATCGTCTTCTCCTTTCTTTCATTTCTTTTCCTTATAATAAGCTTAATTTCGTTGAATTCTAACAAAAAAAGGAAAGAACGGAAACACAAAAGCTTGTTTTGTTTCACACTCTATCTTGAAAAGACAAACTTCAGTTTTCACGTTAGAGCTGAACACGAAAATGATACAGGATTTAGCTTAAAAGGGTAGCCACTAAGCTCCCACTACGAGCGAGGTTCGAGGAAGTGTCGGACCATAACGGTCTCTTGTACGCAACCTTACCTTACATTTCTGCAAGAGGCTTATTTCTACAGCTCGAATCCGTGACCTCTTGGTCACATGACAACAACTTTACCAGTTACGCCAAAGCTTTCCTTTAGGATTTAGCTTATATATAATTAATAAATTTTATAAATTGACTAATTTAACTTATTATAGAAAGTAATTTGTCTTATTATGGAGTATCTTATTTTTGAAGATAGTAACATGCAGTTATTTTTTTGGTGATCTAATATGAAAAAATTCTTTTATAATACTATTAGTTGACATAAGATAAAAAAAATAAAAATAAAAAATAAAAATTGAAGATTAAAATTGATTGTTGATTAGGATTGAAGAGGTCACCTAATTAAGCCTAAAAGTAGTCGTAATAATAAGAATACATTTTTACTACTCTACATGTACGGTAAAAACTTATCCACACCGAGTGTTTACATCAAACTAATAAATACATGACTGTGTCTTGCATATGAACCTCAATCATTTAACCATGGTAAATTATATGCATTTTTATCTAATTAAATTAATTAACCATAGTGAATTAATATAGTTTGGTGTAAACACTCGGAGGTGGGTAACTATTTACCCTGCATGTAGTTAGGTACCTCCGCATTGAAAAGCAAACAGAACAAGTTTGTTGTTGACTTTGACTTTCGCTGACCTTTTTAGTCCGACACTTTGATAGTTGTCACCAACTTTTGATTAAAAAAATTAAATTAAATCCAGCATGTAAAAAATAAATTGATAACTTTTGTTGTGACTTTAATAGATAATATTTTTGTTATTGGATGAACGCAGGCCACAATGCCTTCAAGTGAGAAGCACCCATCGCGTGTGCCTATGTGGAGGGGTGTACAATTCTCATATTTACTCATAGCAATGTGCTTATTCCCACTAGCAATTTGTGGCTATTGGGCTTACGGTCATTTGGTATGATCCCTTTCCCACTTTCAACTCTTTTATAAATTATGATACAACGTATACTTTGTAATTAATTAACTTTTAAATAATCGAAATAAGAATCTTAATATTCATCTCACACAATTTTATTTCAGATTCCAGCAAATGGAAGCATGTTAACCGCATTGTTTGCATTCCATAGCCAAGACGTTTCACGATCAGTGTTAGCTCTGATAAGTATTTTTGTGATAATAAACGCGGTGAGTTCCTTTCAAATCTATGGAATGCCAATGTTTGATGATATGGAATCAGCATACACAACTAGGAGCAAAAAAGCATGTCCGTGGTGGCTCCGTTCGATATTCCGGGCAATTTTCGGGTTCGTGTGCTTCTTTATAGCCGTAGCAATTCCATTCTTGGGTAGTTTTGCTGGGCTTATTGGAGGAATTGCACTGCCTGTTACTTTTGCTTATCCATGTTTCATGTGGCTTAAAGTCAAGAAACCCCACAAATATTCTTTAAGTTGGTGGGTAAATTGGGGACTTGGTCTATTGGGAATGGGGTTAAGTGGGATCTTGGTTGCTGCTGGTTTGTATGTTGTCATTGACACTGGTGTTAAAATTAGCTTCTTTAATCCTCAGTGAGTATAGTTTTCTGCAACAAAAAAGTATGGAGAAAACTGTTACTAGTATGAACATACTGGCCAACTTGGTGAAATATTGAAAAGGTTGGTGGGAGTAGGTTTAAGAAAGAATTTAATTTGTTGGTAGGTAGATTTTTTGTATTTCTTTATGGAAATTCAAAGGAATAAGTTGGTGACATGATCTTTATTCCACGTGGACGGGTTCGAATACTTGCAGTTTTTGTTTGAAAATAGGTCCAAACTTCAAATGCAAAATTCATGGACATGATTATGAAGTAAAATCATCAACATCCTTAACTGGTTAATAGCCGACCTAACTCATGGATTGGTATAGTGATTAATGTATATTAGTATGGAATCACATATGTATGGAAATAAACATTAAGACTAATTACAGAAATTAGCGTATAAGCCATATCTATTACAGCCCATTGAGTAAGGCTCTGCCATTTCATGATCGTCCCGATTCTTGAAATAAATAAATAAACTTATCAGAGAAAAAGACTTTGGTGAAATTGTCTACTTGTTGTTTAAATTCTTAAAAATAGTGTATAATAACATTTTAATGAAATTGGGTAGAACGTACATCAAAAGAAAAAGAATGTCCTACGATTTTTTTTTTCTTTTTTTGCGGTCAAAAGCAGAATTTTAATTAAAAACATAGAAGGCTTAAATATTTGTGACATTAACAAAAGTGATGCAAATTGAAAAGCATAACATTATGTGAATTGGATTAAAGAAATATGACTACCTTGATTCTTCAATTTGGGGAGTTGTGTTACTCTAGTGGTCACCGGTTAGGTTCTATTTTTGTAGCAAGGGGGTAAGACCTGCAGTCGCTTCAATCGCCGCCTTCCGGGTAAGTACTTTGTACACTGGATAAAGTTTTCTTGTGTAATAGCCTGCAAATCACACGAGGGACGTAAACTGCACTAGGTAAGGTTCTATTTTACAAAGATAATTTACTGACTTTTAATACAAACATCAAATTAATGAGCGACACATGGCTTCCAATTTTAGATCCAATATTCTTCATCAACCAGTAGTATCAATGAATGAGGGGGAAAACTTAACTCCCAAAAGCCATTTTATTAATCTCTCTTTTTTCCCTTGTTTCCAAGCAAAAAATCTCATTCAAATCTTCAACAATATTAAAATGTGAAGCCGAGTCGCCCAATACATTGTAATTGTTTGAACCATTGAATGTGTTCCCAGTCCCAACTCTCAATTCCCAACCTGGTCGGTGCAAAGATTCTTTAAATTTCTTCATCCAATAAGCATTATTCCATAATTACTAGGTGACCTCAAGATTGTTACACTTAATACTATTTCTTAAGCAAATGTAAAAGGCTTTTGCTTTACACAATATACGACCTGTCATCGGGACCGAGCTAGAGAGCTGAGAGCGAATTCGATCGAACCTAGGAGCTTTCGTTCGAATCCTGTATTTATCTTAAAAAATCGATTGAATATGTATAAATTATTAATTTAGAACTCAGTAACTTCAAACGATTAGAATCCCGAACCCATAAGCTTCAAATACTAACCGCACCTTTGCCTGTTATTACATAAATCTCAAAATCACTAAGAACACTGAACACTAAGATAACATCTCAGTTTGCGTAAACCGTCCAAACCGACATTTCAGTACTTTCCTAGTACCAATAGCCGACACATGAACACATAGCTCGCCAATCTCCAAATCTCATTTCCGCACAATCCTAGTATTTGTTTCACCTATATAAACAGAGTGTAGAACAAGGCTATAAGCACAAAAATTCACTAAAAGCACGAGCATTTTAAAAACTTAGCTTAAGTTTCATATATATACTACTTGTACTTGTTAATTCTATAAGATGGCAGAGCAACAAAGTCAGTCACAGGAGAATGTTAACAAAGGTGCAGCTCCAGAGAGTAGTGACCGTGGATGTGGATTGTTCAATTTCATGGGAAAGAAAGAAGAGAATAAGTCCCAAGATGACACTGTCATGATTGATGTTGTTGACACTACTACTCCCAATCCCAATGTAGAACCACCAAAGGAGAAGAAAGTAGAGGAGGAGAAGCACACTAGTCTTATGGACAAACTTCACCGCACTCACAGCAATTCAAGCTCGGTAAGCTACTTAATTAATTGCTCCTTATTTACTTAGCGGAGAAGGTCAAATATACCTCTGTACTATTACAAAAGATTTAAATATACCTCTCGTTATACTTTGAATCCATATATACCTTGTCGTTATACTATTGGTTCAAATATAATTATTTTCCGTTAAGTTTGTCCAAAGTGGATATCCAATCCTACGTGGCACTGACATCTGATGAGGTGGATGCCACATGGCTTGCTACCTCAGCGCCCCTACCCCATTTTACGCTTCCCTTCTATTTTTTTTCCACCGCTAAGATTTACTTCCCCTCCACCACTATTGCCATCATTATTGCTACCATAAAAAATATTGTATTTCAAATTTTAGTCTTTTATATATGGATTAGGGGCGCTGAGGTGGCATGACATGTGACATTCACCTCATCAAATATTAGTACCGCGTAGGATTGGATGTCTGCCTTCGATAAAAAAAAAATTCTCACTGGTGTTGTTACAATTTTCTTTGTTTCGCTTCTAATTATTTCAGTCAAGCGATGAGGAAGTGGACGAGGTAACTGGAGAGAAGAAAAGGAAGAAGGGACTGAAAGAGAAGATCAAGGAAAAGATTTCAGGTGATCATAAGGAAAATAGTGAGCAAAAAGTTGAAATGGAGAACTGCAGTACTGGTCATGTGGCTGGAAATGCAAATTATGCAGCAGCAACACAGGAAGATCAAGAAAAGAAAGGAATAATGGACAAGATAAAGGACAAACTTCCAGGTCACCACAACAAGACTGATCAAGAATTCCATCCCACTACTCATGCTACTGCAGATGAGCAAGTCCATGGAGGTGATCAAACAAAAGAGAAGAAAGGATTACTTGACAAAATAAAGGAGAAATTGCCTGGACATGGCCACAAGAATACTGAGGACCATGAGGAGAAGCACAAGTCCAACTGAAAATCATGAGAATCACCCTAGAGATCTGTCGGCATGCTGACCAAACTTGTTTGGTACGGAGGCGTAGTAATTATTATTGTTGTACTTTGTATGAATTTGCTTTTAATTAATATTTGTTCATTTGCTTAGTCTTGTTTGGAGTAGTGATGTGATCCTTGTAATTGGCATCACGTGCCATTGCTTTTTTATAATTATTGTATGTTATTTGAGTTCCTTTCATATTTTCCTTCGTTTTCTTAGTGAAACTCTGTTGCATGTTTTGGTCAAAACTAGCCATTGTCTTGGTGTCTGTTTGTTAGAGCAACTTAATCCATGAAAATGGAACTCCAAAAATTTAAATTGATATCTTTAAATTTAAGATAGCTGCAAAATCATGTTGCATGCTAGAGGTATGTCATATACGCAATTTACAGGATAGGTGTACAATACAGTGACCTTTCTTAAGCAACCCCTACATTTGTACGTAGGGGTGTACAAAAGAAACCGACAAATCCCATCAACCCGATAATCCGAGTCAAACCGAGAAAAAAAATTCAACTATGGTTTGGTTTGATTTGGTTTGGTGTTGGAAAAAAAAAAATCCGACCTTAATTGGTTTGGTTTGGTTTTAACTAATGAAAGTCAAACCGAAACCACACCAACCCGACATTACATATATAGAAATTTAAGATATATTTAATATATAAATATACTTATTTTTAATTTATAAATATTTCTTAAAAAAATTTATAATTTTATCTTTTAAGGTATTATTTCAAGGTTGGACTTAGAACTTTTGAATGTTCCAATAAGTTTTATAGCCATTAACATTAGTAAATTAAATAATGCTAACAAAAGCCCAAACCAAAATTAAATCAATAATAATGCTAAAAAAAGACATTCAATTCAATACTACAAACGGGAATATATTGAATATCTATTTTTTGTTTTGCAATAATTTAGATAAAAATGCATACCTTTTTTTTTCGCATTTAGTCATGTAACTAATACTCCCTTATTAATCTACTTATTTTAGCATGACTTAGTACTTTTAGATTATGTTTATTTTTATTATGGCTTTTTAATTAGTAATATTTATATTACATAATTTTATTGTCTTTATTGTTGAATATTTTAGGATAATGCCATGAAACATCTCATATTTTGTATTATTTTCTTGTAAAATGCTTTATATAATTGTATCTTACTAGGATTAAAGAAATATTTTGAGCACAATTTATATATTTTGTTTTACGAAGATTTTACCGGGGAAAAAACCCCCGAAAAAACCCGAATAACCCGAAAATCCGAGAAAATCCGAGAGCGAAAAATCTGAGTTTTATTGGTTTGGTTTGGTCTTTAAATTTAATAACCCGATACAATTGGTTTGGTTTGGTAATTGTAAAATCCGGACTAACTCGACCTATGTACACCCCTATGTACGTTTCATTGTGAAGTGAAATTGTATAGAAGTTAAACTTTTTGATATCCTCACAACGCAGGAGTAAGATCTGCATATACATTACTCTTCCCAGACTCCACGGTGTGAAATAATACTAGGTATATTTTTTTTTTTGTTGTGTTGTTGTTGTTTTTAAACTTTTTGATAAAACTTGAAAATATATGATTCTCTAAGATACTATTTTGGGTGGGTAATCTGAAATTCTGAAGCCTATGGATAACGGTCCAAATATCCCTTTTTATGATCACTATTTAAATGTGATCTCTGTTTTAAAAGGTTGCAAATATAGTCCTCAAAAGTCCTCAAATATGTGATCTCTAATATTTACACATGTAATTTTCAGTTTGCTCACAAAATATTGGATAGTAGTCTAAATTTGCAGCAACTAACATAATTTTAGATCGTAATCTAACGTTTTCTTGTAAGGTTTTCAATTTGGTCCAAGAAAATCTTTGGACGAGGGGTAAAAGGTCTATTAATTGCAAAAGAAATAATAAAAGGGTCATTTTTGAAAAAACTGATGCAAAAAGAGAGGGGGAAGTGCACGGTTGGTCACTAATAACACATGTATTTACCTTTAAGTCACCGTTTAAAATGTCTTTAGTCTTTAGCCACTGCTTTAATAAACTTTAACTGCCCGGACGAAATAACACGAGCAGAAACTCATGTCCTTAATTTTTGTACTTAACTTCAGGACTACATATCCTTAACTTTTGAACTTGTAACTCTAAGTTCAGGACTTCAAGGTTACATGTCCTTAACTTTTGAACTTGGAACTCAAACTTCACCAAGCGTCCTTAACTTTTGAACTTGTAAGTCTTGTCCTTAACTTTTGAACGTGTAACTGTAAGTTAAGGACTGTTTGTCCTTAACTTTTGAACTTGGAAATCAAAGTTAAGGACAATAGTCCTTAACTTTTAAACTTGTAACTGTAAGTTAAGGATTGTCTGTCCTTAACTTTTGAACTTGTAACTATAAGTTAAGGACTGTCTGTCCTTAACTTTAGAACTAGTAACTGTTAGTTAAGGACTGTCTGTCCTTAACTTTTGAACTTGTAACTATAAGTTAAGGACTGTCTGTCCTTAACTTTAGAACTAGTAACTGTTAGTTAAGGACTGTCTGTCTTTAACTTTTGAACTTGTGTCCTTAACTTTAGGACTTCGGGACTGCATTTCCTTAACTTTTGAACTTGTGTCCTTAACTTTAGGACTTCGGGACTGCATTTCCTTAACTTTTGAACTTGAAACTCTAAATTCAGGACAATGTCCTTAACTTTTGAATTTAATTTTAGGACTTCAGGACTACATGTCCTTAACACAATTATCTTTGTCCTCAACTTTTTGGCTTTTTACCATATTTTTCCTACTTATCAGTTGTTTAAGAAAATCTATAAGTCACTTCTTTTAGAAAACCAAAAGTCACGTCCTCCCACGTCTGTGATTATTATGAGTGAAACCAAGCAATTCAACTCCTGAAAGCAGACACAAAAGAAAATGAGAGGCTTATAAAATTTATATGATTAATGTATTTCGTTTCTTCTGTTCAAAATTGGGTTTCATATATGAAAATAATGGACACACTCATACGGACCCCAGAACGCCATTGCAGAAGGAGAAGTGGAGCTGTAAGGAATGGATCTGAAAATGGCGTATTTCTGTTTAGGAAAGAAAGGGTAATACTGCCTTTTCATATTAATTTTAATAGACTAGTGGCTACTTTTGCTCAGCATTAAAAATGTTGGATAAAAAGTAAATACCACTTTAAAAAGTGGCTACCCCACACAATTTTTACAAAAAGATAGAACTAACGAAAATTTCACTATCCCTCCATTCACTAGCCCACTGACTTATGAGCTGATAAATAATGGTCTGGACCATCATCTAATTTTAGCTAAATCGTGAGAGGCTCAGACGACCTTGCAACAGAGTGGTCCAAACTTAAGTCCGTTATTAGCCTCTTAAACTGGTTTCAGTAGGCCGATGGCCCAATTATTCATAGGCCGGACCATCAAAAACTTTTCCTTCTTCAAGATAATAATCCTTCAACGAGAATTTTCTGTTGAAATTCAAAAATAGCTAAATTTACAAGTGGTAATTGAAAAATAGCCATAATTTTAAAAATAATCGAAATTTAGCCACTTTCCATGGAAAGATAAATTTGAACGAAAATACTAAATCTGAAAAATATTCCAGCATAATTGTAACACCCCATAAATCCGGATTAGTTGTGGATGTGTTAGATGACTATTTATGTGATCTTTTAGACATGTGAAGCCCTATCAAGATGAGTATGGGTAATGTAATACTCCGTAAATATGAATCAGCTGTGTACGGACAAGGACTATTTATGTAATACCCCGTAATTTGAATCAGTTGTGGATGTATTAAACGAGTATTAGCGTGATGGTAATTGAGTGGTTATGTTAATAAGTGTATAAGTTATGTTAGAGGTGAATTGGAGTCTAAGGAGAGGCCTAAGTCTAAGCCAAGTTGGAAAATTTCAAAATGGACTAAAGCTGTGAATGAATACGCACATGACCTCACTTTGAACGATCATATCTCTGGTTGTATAACGAGTTATGTGATGCATAACCTATCAAATTAAATCCCTTTGAGTCTAGTTTCCAACGCAACAAACCGTTTGTCATTTGGAGGTGTATACAGAAAGTTATGACTATTTTACTGGGCAGGTGTCACTAGCGCGAAGTCGCGCACGAAGTCGCGCGTTTTTGCTGAGTATTCTGCCTCGCGAGCGAACAAGGGCGTGAACAAGCGCGCGAACTCGCGCGTCTGGAAGGTTTTAAATACTTTAAAGGCAGGAAATAATAGAAATTGAGTCACTTCTCAAGCTTAGGGTTTCCTCTACACCCCAACTCGACCAAGGCATCCAATTGCACACCTAAGGTGAGTTTTTAAGTGTGTTTTCATGGTGATTTCACTTCTCAATCACTAGTTACAACATGATTTTGATTGGGTTTCATAGGATTTCTTCAAAATCTCAAGAACACCCCAAAAGTTGTCTTTCAAGATTTGGTCTACAAGAGGTAATCCTACACCCTTAGACTTACATATATGGTGTTATTATGGAATCATGAGTATAAATCAAGTATTACAACTTATGGTATGGTGATTGGAAGCCATAAATTTCCAATTTAAATACATGATCATGGTAGGGATTTAAGGGTGATTATTTGATAGGATTTGTTGGTTGGGTGTGAATGGATGGTCATATACGTGATGTTGAAAGTTATAAATTGGTTAATCATGATGGTAGGATAAATTGTTGATGAATGGTGGTAATTAGATGAACTAATTATATGGTGATGAGATGTAGAGGTTTATGCCTACAAGGTGTTTGATAATATGCCTAAATGGCTTAAGTTATGGAATTTGTTACTAATATTGGTTCCATTGGATATTGCTATTGTAGATTGAAGGTTCTTAGTGTTGTGGATCATTGTAGTATCACTAAGGGGCGACATTGAGGTATGTGAGGCTAACTCTCTATGTTTGAGAATGTTAAAGATCCTCCCTACACTACGTTTCTTTTACGACGTATCAATTGCCTCAGAAATATAGTTAAGCCTAGTTCCTTGAGTAGTTGTAGAGCTTCTATTCTCTAGCTTCATAACTCGTTCATAAATTTCATTCCGAACGATGTGAGCTCAGTTCGTATTCAATATAGACTTGGGTTTGATGTCCCTAAGTCTCAGTATGGCTTACTCAACATGTCATAAACAGTTGAAGTTTCGGTGTTCATAATCAGTTCAAGAATACATATCTCATTTT